TAGGGCTGGGGGCCTCCGTCTGCCTCCTCTCTCTCTATATGTCTCTGATCACTCTCCATCTCTGTCACAGCCAATGCTGATGTCATGTGTCAATCACAGCTTAGACCCGCCCAACATTCACCCCCCGCCTGTCCCCTTTGGTCCTCCAGGCTACGCCCATTTGGAGGGAGATTTGAAAAGAAAATGTGAGTGAGAAGTCCTTTAACTAGCTGTAAATGCTTCAATACCAGTCTTTCACAATAAAATATATATTTGTAGTAGAGCGGAGATAAAAACTGTACATAAAGGGCAGGATAACAAGTAGATAAAGTAAAGTGACATTGTTCAGTGGACATTCTTAAGTTGCAGAATTGCAAGCTGGTCAGGAGGGCCAGCTCCACTCTGGGCTGCCCCCTGGACTCTGTGGAGGAGGTGAGGGACAGGAGGTGCTAGTCAAAGCCACCTCCATCATGAACAACACCTCCCACTGCACAGGACTGAGGAGGAGCTGAGGCACCCTCAGTGTAAGGAGCGCTACCACAGGGCCTTTATCCCCACCGCTGTCAGACTGTACAACAAGTCACTTTAAGTCACTGTATAAGACTGAAAAACCTGCACTAATATTGACACTATTTCTGATTGCCACTTTTTTATTGTACATAATATATCCTGCATTTAACATGTTTGCACATTCCTCCCTTTTTTGCACAATCTGAGTGTTCCTATCCAGGCCAAATGTGACATGTACATTTCTCCTTTGTGAGATAAATAAAGAATATCTTATGGTTTTAGTATTTATTTGAGCATATCTGGTCTTCATAGCCTCACAGCCTGTCTGTCCGTGTGGCTATGAACAGATATGAACTATGACATGATACAATGAACATCCTTCAGAAACAGAAACAGGGAAACGTACAGTCTGACACTTTATAAGAATAATTATAGATAAGGGTTAGTGTTAATGTGAGCTGTTGTGTTTGAGGAAACTGTTCTGGATCTGCTCTCACCACATTCTGGAAGGACTTCAGTACATTCATTATAGATTATTCATTTGTAATCAATAATAGATGAAATGACTGATAAAGATATTGATGAACTACATTTGGGGCTTAATATTTTTCTCTGGATTGTTTAGGCCTAGGACAGACATGAAAACACTGAAGGCATGTTTGAAAGTGACAAACAAATCAACTCTACTCTACTGGCCTCTTTATTCATTTGAAAACTAGGATGAAGAAAGAGAAGACCTCCTGATTAAAGTCGATCCATCACTGACTGAAAAAATGACTCAGGAGAAAATAAAAGAACCTTTATTCACTGACAGTGGAGAAATTTCAATGTTGCAGCGCACATACAGGACAGTATTAAAAGCTCACAGAATATACAATTTAAATATAAATGTTACATAAAAATATATATGGAAAAGTTAAAAACATATTTGGCAGGATAAAAGTGAATTGGTTGGACATTCTTAAATTGCAGTATTGCACATTATTGCAATATTTACTATTCACAGATGAACATGTACAGGCGCACACACATACAAAATACACACACAGACACACACATGCAAAATACACACACACAGACACACACACATACAAAATACACACACACAGACAAGAGCCCACACACACACACACACATACAAAATACACACACACAGACAAGAGCACACACACACACACACACTTCTAATACCAGCTTTTCCCTGTGCTCTTAAACGCATCACTGCTCAGTGTCTCATAGGGATCCGGTTGTCGTGGTTACATGCAGCTCTTCGCTGTAAAATGTATGTCTCACTAAATCCATCCGATTCTGTGACTGAAGTAAATGTGGCGTTTGACTCACAATCTTTTGTATTACATAAAAAGGTGCAAAGCTAACGCTGTCAGAACAAATGCCCATATTAGGAAACAGGCTCCAGCTAATGTTCAAATCAGCTTCTTCTGCATTAAAGTGATAGTCTGGAACTCTATATGAATTACAAATGTTAAGAATTGCATTAAATTGACCTCCTGGCCTTAAATGTTGATATAAAATAAGTCAATTTTATTAATTACGAGTAAGTCCCGCCTTCCCTTCTCTTAGCTATAGCACAATATCCACGATGCCGTCCACGTTAACCAATCGAGTCATGCCAAGGGCTGTCAATCATCAGCGCTCGTGCTCGTATATAAAGCAAATATTACATATATATATTATATATGAAGAGTTTGGTTCAAAAACGCTATAAATCCATTTGGATCAATTTGAGAAAAACTGCGTTTTCTTAAGCAAGAAAATGATATGATGAAAATCACTATTTTCTGTTCCATATATAGCATCAGAAGGTTATAATAACATTAAGAATTAAAATCCAGATTTCAAAAGGCTATAACTTTAAAGTCATCTAATTTACATATCATGACGTCATCAAGGTGGCGGCCATATTGGACAATGTCATTAAAATGTACATTGACAAAAGGTCAATGTGAAATATCTTTAGTATAAAATCTTAAGTGTTCTTAGTATTTTACACACCTGAAGTACAAGCACAGAGTGCGTTGCTAAAGGGCAGCGGCCATTAATGGTTTGAGAGTCAGTTATCAAGAAATAAATGATCGAACGTTTTGAAATTACATTCAAATCAATGGAGCGATTCTACTGCTGCTGTGAGGAGCGAGTTATAAATTAGGAATAAATATTCAAATATTTATATTTATAATCTCTCTTCCGCACGTCTTGGACCATTGACCTGGCGTGTGCACAGAAAAGTAGGCGTGGCTTCAAGACCAATCAGAAAGGAAGGGGGAGGAGCTTGGGTCGTTAATTTTCAAATCACGAACCTCTCTCTCTCTTTTCTGACAAACTCCAGACAATCCCTTAAAGGCTAACCACTGTGAGGTCACACTGTCAGACCACTGAATAATTATGTATATATTACTAACTACATACTTTTTATTAGAGCTGCACAATATTGGAAACTAGAGCGATATTCGATATGACTGTTTAGTATTTCGATAACAATATTATTGCGATAATTTTGTCTTTCACCTAAAATTGCATCTGCATTGAAACGTAAGATACAAAATGACATTCAAATGCATATGTCGGTGGGTGCAAAATGGGTGGTAGGTTTTAATAAGGTTTTATTTATATTTTATGCATTTTGTGTGTGTGTGCTTCTAACATTGATTTGAACTTGCACCACCCGAAGCACCCCGGCTACCCACGTGATGACAATTAGAACACCTGTGCCTTGCGTACAAAATGAGATGGGGAGGGGGCGGAGAGAGGAAGCAGGACGAAGCGGGAGACACAGGAGACAGACACGGCGAGGGGTGACCCCATGGTCCGGCGGCCCAGGTCGTGCAGAAGGCTTTTTAGCCTCTTTAACTTTTATCCCGGGCTTTTAGCTTAGGTTTTATTGCTTTTATTCATTTACTTATTTTTTATGTATTTTATAATAAATTGCTTTTAATTTACTTTTAATCCAGTGGTCTTTTTTAAACCCGGGTCCGAAGAACCTGTTTTTTTATACTTGTGACACATATACCTATATACTTATTTGTTCTTGTTGAATGTCTGTTGTTGTCTGTTTTGTTGTCTTTAATAAAGGAAAAATATAATATATATAGTAGGGCTGTCAAACGATTAAAATGTTTTAGTTGATTAATCGCATCGTAATGGTGAGTTAACTCACAATTAATCGCATTTTTAACTTTCTATTTCAAATCCACTCCAATTGAAGTTAAATGAGATTATCAAATGTAATGACACATTGTCATTCAAACCAAATGTACTTAAATCTGTTTGATTCACAACAATTTAATTTTGGGCGAAACCAACATGAGCTGTTAATGAAAGGGAACATTTACGTACCCCAGCTTTAATTTAAGTAAGTAAGTAAGTAAAGTTTATTTGTATAGTGCATTTCACAGACCGCTGACATGGAGGATGTTTGTTCTGAGTGATATTATGGACACATGGGTCATTCTGAGTGATATTATGGACACATGGGTCATTCTGAGTGATATTATGGACACATGGGTCATTCTGAGTGATATTATGGACACATGGGTCATTCTGAGTGATATTATGGACACATGGGTCATTCGCACATGCGTTGATGCGTTAAAAAAAAAACGCAATAATGAAACATTTAATTCACGTGTGTTAACGCAATAATTTTGACAGCCCTAATATATATATATATATATTTGTTTTATTAAACCGTGAGCTTATTGAACACAGAACACAGTGTGTGTCAGTGACCCGTGTAAATCCTCACATCCAAACCAGGTCTTCAGGTTGAGTCCAGAGATGATGTCTGTTCTTGTCTTCTTATGTGTTGCAGAACACGTTCAAAGACAGTCTTGGTTTTATTAAGTTCATGTAGAATCTTCTCCATCGCAGCAACAGTCTTTAATGCAGAGTTCCTCTTAATGTCTCCAACTGGCTTCAGTTGGCGGAAGGGGACTTTAAATGTTAGAACTTTAATCACAGCGTCGTATTCCTGCAGCTGCTTGCAGCATCTCTTCACATTGTTCACCCGTGTCTGTAACTGCTTCACTGTGGATATGAACTTTCTTTTTGTGGCCTTGATTTTCTTTACTGCCTCCTTCTTTGCTCTGCTGCTGTTTGTTCTGAATATGAGGTCTGCAACAGATTCAACAGCAAGATCAACAACAGCAACAGCAGCAGCACCAGCAGTAGCACCAGCAGCAGCAGCTCCGATTCCAACCAATGTCAAACTCAGTCCTCCTGTGAATGGAGCAGCAGCGACACCTACAGCGGCTCCTACAACGGCTCCTAGACCTATAATGACTGTAGTCAGCATTGCTACATTTCTCTTCTCAATCTTTTCCGTCTGTTCATGAATACACCTGGTCAGATTGTCCTTGTTTGTTTCAAAGAAGTCCAGAAAACGCTTGATGGACTGATTCAGTAAAAAATGTGAAGGAAAGTCTTTGCTCCGTCTTCTCCTGGAACAAAACAGAACAGAGATGAGACTGAGAGGAGACTGAAAGGAGAAAGAGATGAGACTGAGGAGACAGAGGAGGAGAGACAGGAAGAGACAGAGGAGGAGACAGAAGAGGAGACAGAGGAAGAGAGAGAGAGGACACAGAGGAAGAGACAGAGGAGGAGAGAGAGAGGAAGAGACAGAGAGGAAGAGACAGAAGATGAGACAGAGGAGACAGGAGAAGAGAGAGGAGGAGACAGAAAAGGAGACAGAGGAGGAGAGAGAGAGAGGAAGAGACAGAGGAGGAGACAGAGGAGGAGAGAGAGAGGAAGAGACAGAAGATGAGACAGAGGAGACAGGAGAAGAGAGAGGAAGAAACAGAGGAGGAGAGAGAGGAAGAAACAGAGGAGAAGAGAGAGAGGAAGAGACAGAAGAGGAGACAGAGGAGGAGAGAGAGAGAGAGGAAGAGACAGAGAGGAGACAGAGGAGGAGACAGACGAGGAGAGAGAGAGGAAGAGACAGAAGATGAGACAGAGGAGACAGGAGAAGAGAGAGGAAGAAACAGAGGAGGAGAGAGAGGAAGAAACAGAGAAGGAGACAGAGGAGAAGAGAGAGGAAGAAACAGAGGAGGAGACAGAAGAGGAGACAGAGGAGGAGAGAATATCAAAATCATAATAAATAGTCTTTAAAAACGTCTAAAACCAGGTGTCGATCGTCAGCTGTTGATGTAAAAGACTAAGAGTCACTGTGAGGGTATTTTATACAGTGCCTTGCGAAAGTATTCGGCCCCCTTGAACCTTTCAACATTTCGCCACATTTCAGGCTTCAAACATAAAGATATACAATTTTATTTTTTTGTCATGAATCAACAACAAGTGGGACACAATCGTGAAGTGGAACGAAATTCATTGGATAATTTAATCTTAAAAAAAAAATAAAAAACTGAAAAGTGGGGCGTGCAATATTATTCGGCCCCTTTACTTTCAGTGCAGCAAACTCACTCCAGAAGTTCAGTGAGGATCTTTGAATGATCCAATGTTGTCCTAAATGACTATAATGATCCAGAGTGATCATGGGCCTCTTGGCTGCATCTTTGATCAGTCTTCTCCTTGTTTGAGATGAAAGTTTGGAGGGACGGCCGGGTCTTGGTAGATTTGCAGTGGTCTGATACTCCTTCCATTTCAATATAATTGCTTGCACAGTGCTCCTTGAGATGTTTAAAGCTTGGGAAATCTTTTTGTATCCAAATCCGGCTTTAAACTTCTCCACAACAGTATCTCGGACCTGCCTGGTGTGTTCCTTTGTCTTCATGGTTCTCTCTGCGCTTTAAACAGAACCCTGAGACTATCAAAGAGCAGGTGCATTTATACGGAGACTTGATTACACACAGGTGCATTCTATTTATCACCATCAGTCATTTAGGACAACATTGGATCATTCAAAGATCCTCACTGAACTTCTGGACTGAGTTTGCTGCACTGAAAGTAAAGGGGCCGAATAATATTGCACGCCCCACTTTTCAGTTTTTTATTTGTTAAAAAAGTTTAAATTATCCAACAAATTTAATTCCACTTCACGATTGTGTCCCACTTGTTGTTGATTCATGACAAAAAATTAAAATTTTATATCTTTATGTTTGAAGACTGAAATGTGGCGAAATGTTGAAAGGTTCAATGGGGCCGAATAATTTCGCAAGGCACTGTAGGTACACTGTGTAATTTTTACTGCCATCTAGTGTTGAGATCTTATATTGCAGTCCAGGGTACTACGGAGGCCTTTGATGGAAAAGATGTGTCTTTGACAGTGCTCCTGATTCACCATTCAGTATGGTGAATGGTCATTCACCAGACTGCCAAGGGAAGAATACTTTAGTTTGATAAATTACCGGATCTCTCCAAACGTCTCAGGCACTTGACAGTCGCGTGGAGGCGACATGTAAACATCACAGCGTTCAGACGCGGCACACGCTGTACAGAGGCTAAACTGAGTTTTACCAGATCTATTTTAATATATAGTTTTACCATGGATCTATTTTAATATATAGTTTTACCACGGGTCTATTTTAATATATAGTTTTACCATGGATCTATTTTAATATATAGTTTTACCATGGATCTATTTTAATATATAGTTTTACCACGGGTCTATTTTAATATATAGTTTTACCATGGATCTATTTTAATATATAGTTTTACAAACGCGGTGTGAAGAGAAGAGACACATGGAGGAATAATGTCTGTGAGAGCTTAAAACTATGATGATCAAAGAAGCAGGAGATATACAGGTAACTGTGGTCCTCCATGGTTCTTTTATATAACTGTGATCCTCCATGGTTCTTTTATATAACTGTGGTCCTCCATGGTTCTTTTATATAACTGTGATCCTCCATGGTTCATTTATATAACTGTGGTCCTCCATGGTTCTTTTATATAACTGTGGTCCTCCATGGTTCTGTTATATAACTGTGGTCCTCCATGGTTCTGTTATATAACTGTGGTCCTCCATGGTTTTTTTATATAACTGTGATCCTCCATGGTTCATTTATATAACTGTGGTCCTCCATGGTTCTTTTATATAACTGTGGTCCTCCATGGTTCTGTTATATAACTGTGGTCCTCCATGGTTCTTTTATATAACTGTGGTCCTCCATGGTTCTTTTATATAACTGTGGTCCTCCATGGTTCTGTTATATAACTGTGGTCCTCCATGGTTCTGTTATATAACTGTGGTCCTCCATGGTTTTTTTTATATAACTGTGATCCTCCATGGTTCATTTATATAACTGTGGTCCTCCATGGTTCTTTTATATAACTGTGGTCCTCCATGGTTCTTTTATATAACTGTGGTCCTCCATGGTTCTTTCATATAACTGTGGTCCTCCATGGTTCTTTTATATAACTGCGGTCCTCCATGGTTCTTTTATATAACTGTGGTCCTCCATGGTTCTTTTATATAACTGTGGTCCTCCATGGTTCTTATATATAACTGTGGTCCTCCATGGTTCTTTTATATAACTGTGGTCCTCCATGGTTCTTTTATATAACTGTGGTCCTCCATGGTTCTTTTATATAACTGTGGTCCTCCATGGTTCTTTTATATAACTGTGGTCCTCCATGGTTCATTCTCATTCATTCATTGTCCATTTCTGGGTCAGGGGGGTGGCAGTCAGAGTTGCCACCCAATTCACATAGCACCAGTCCCTCGCTGATCCTCCTGCAGGTGGTGGGTCCACGGGAAGATGGCTGTTCTTTCATCACAGATACGGCCTTGAACTTTCAGCGGGGACTTCAGGCAAAGTGGGGTTAAGTGTCTTGCCCAGGGACACAACGACAGCAGACATCAGTGGGAGCAGATGACATGGGTCGTGGTGGAATCGAACCTACGACCATTAGGTCCAGAGACCAACGCTCTACCAACTGAGCTACTGTCGCCCCCCTCCTCCATCCTCCATGGTTCTTTTATATAACTGTGGTCCTCCATGGTTCTTTTATATAACTGTGGTCCTCCATGGTTCTTTTATATAACTGTTGTCCTCCATGGTTCTATAATATAACTGTGGTCCTCCATGGTTCTTTTATATAACTGTGGTCCTCCATGGTTCTTTTATATAACTGTGGTCCTCCATGGTTCTTTTATATAACTGTTGTCCTCCATGGTTCTGTTATATAACTGTGGTCCTCCATGGTTCTTTTATATAACTGTTGTCCTCCATGGTTCTTTTATATAACTTTTGTCCTCCATGGTTCTTTAATATAACTGTGGTCCTCCATGGTTCTTTATATAACTGTGGTCCTCCATGGTTCTTTTATATAACTGTGGTCCTCCATGGTTCTTTTATATAACTGTTGTCCTCCATGGTTCTTTAATATAACTGTGGTCCTCCATGGTTCTTTTATATAACTGTGGTCCTCCATGGTTCTTTTATATAACTTTGGTCCTCCATGGTTCTTTTACATCATTGTGGTCCTCCATGGTTCTTTTATATAACTGTGGTCCTCCATGGTTCTTTTATATAACTGTGATCCTCCATGGTTCTTTTATATAACTGTTGTCCTCCATGGTTCTTTTATATAACTGTGGTCCTCCATGGTTCTTTAATATAACTGTGGTCCTCCATGGTTCTTTTATATAACTGTGGTCCTCCATGGTTCTTTTATATAACTGTGGTCCTCCATGGTTCTTTTATATAACTGTGGTCCTCCATGGTTCTATAATATAACTGTGGTCCTCCATGGTTCTTTTATATAACTGTGGTCCTCCATGGTTCTTTTATATAACTGTGGTCCTCCATGGTTCTTTTATATAACTGTGGTCCTCCATGGTTCTGTTATATAACTGTGGTCCTCCATGGTTCTTTTATATCACTGTGGTCCTCCATGGTTCTTTTATATAACTGTGGTCCTCCATGGTTCTTTTATATAACTGTGGTCCTCCATGGTTCTTTTATATAACTGTTGTCCTCCATGGTTCTTTTATATAACTGTGGTCCTCCATGGTTCTTTTATATAACTGTGGTCCTCCATGGTTCTTTTATATAACTGTGGTCCTCCATGGTTCTTTTATATAACTGTGGTCCTCCATGGTTCTTTTATATAACTGTGGTCCTCCATGGTTCTTTTATATAACTGTGGTCCTCCATGGTTCTTTTATATAACTGTGGTCCTCCATGGTTCTTTTATATAACTGTGGTCCTCCATGGTTCTTTTATATAACTGTGGTCCTCCATGGTTCTTTTATATAACTGTGGTCCTCCATGGTTCTTTATATAACTGTGGTCCTCCATGGTTCTTTTATATAACTGTGGTCCTCCATGGTTCTTTTATATAACTGTGGTCCTCCATGGTTCTTTTATATAACTGTGGTCCTCCATGGTTCTTTATATAACTGTGGTCCTCCATGGGAGTAAAAAGGACTGCTATCATCCAACAGATTAGAGTGGTTCTTTTATATAACTGTGGCTTTACTTGTATGGATCGGAGGACAACTTTAACCATTTCTGGTATGGGCTGTCAGCACCCAAGCACCATATAGGAGTTATGTCTGTATGAACATTGATATTTATAACGTCCACTAGATAATGTAATTTATTCATCTTTGATGTGGTGACTGGGTATAACTTTTATAACAACTTATTGGATTACATTTAGCGGTGTGTGGAGTAGATGACTTCACCATATCGCCTCTGGAGAGATAAACAGAGACAAAGACCCATTCCACGTGGTTCTTAACCATAGGTTATTTGGTGGTGCAGAAGGAAATTGAGAAGTTGCTCATCTTTTCGGGTAAGTCACTTGTTGGGCATCTTGTGGTAATGAACAGGAACTGCCTTTTTTAATACTACCAAGTATATTTTATTATACACATAGAATCGAATTTATTTGAATGTTTGACGTACAATAATCTTGTTCGGTAGGACCAACTTCGAAGCTCGAATCGTTTCCAAAACCAAGTGAAGAGATGACATGTCCTTGGGATCGTGTCTTAAAATTCCGACAGGAAGACATGTTTTTATTGTCGATGGTAGGCAGA